TTTTACAGCAGCAGAGCCGCCGGACAATAGGAAACTATTGGGCGGAGCTGGCTGTCACTGCTAGCGCCGCACAATCGTTTGCTATTTACTTTTTTTACTTTATTCACTCTTTTTCTGTTCTGCTCGGTCCCTCTGAGGGACCGAGCAGAACAGCCGAGCCGAATGCCGCTCAGCTGTTGGATCGGCTGAGTCGAACTCCTTCTGCACTTCGGGTCGGCCGAACATGCTGAGCATGTTCAGCCGACCCGAAGCCACTCGAAGTAAGCCGATGTACGGCTGATTTCAGCTGATGTACGGCTGAAATCAGCCTTACCAGCCTGAAGTGAATAGCCGAACAGTTCACTGCAGATCGGTCATTCACTCGGCTGCCCTCGGCAGCTTGGTGAATAGACCCCCTAGTTTCCAGAATTCTGTAATGAATGTGTAAAGATCCCTATAAAGCCTTGGTTCTCAACTGGTGGGTCGTGACCCAAAAGTGGGTCACCACATGCCTTCCACTGCACAAGGTAAGAGGCTGCTCTGCCTCTCCCAACGCAGCACCGCCATCTCATGGCAAGCAGCCATTCAAAATATGTTGCCCGGTGCAGCTTGTCAGATTGAGGTGGGATGGCACTATGGCCGCGAGGTAGCTCCATCCATACATGCATTGCTTATGGTACCGCAATGCCGTGCGTTCCATTGCAGTGTGATTTGGGTCACGACTTAATGACCAATGACAAATGTGGGTCCTGAGGTTACACAGGTTGAGAATCACTGCTATAAAGCATCTGGGTGCAGCCAAACATAAATGGAAATATGTCCTATTGCTCTCCACACAAGACACGGAGATGTACTTACTCCAATGGTGTCTCACCACCACTTCCAGACTGCTGTGGTTGACCTCACAGGTATACAGATCCTCAGTAATTGGTGTTATATCAAGAGTTGATAAGGACAGATATGTTTGGTCAGGGAAAGGCAGAGTCAGTCTCTGTATCTCCTCCTCTGGTACCTGCTGATTATTTCTCCACCACTTCAAGGAGATGTCCCTGGGGTAATGACCATAAGCTTTGCAGGATAGCGTGACAATATCAATGGATATAGATCTTCCCATGACTCTCACAGTCGGCTTCTCTGTAATATACAAGAGGCGTACGGTATATGGTGTCAGATCCAATTAGCAAAGCTTTATAGGGAATGCACAGTGGTTTTGTATAAATTTTAGCAGGGAAATCTTTTGGCCCATTTTCTCAAATATTTTAGTGTTCCAGTCTTTTTTTTGGTAAAAAACCTGTTATTTACAAAGCTGAAATTTACACACATAAGTGAAAGTTAAGGAGCTCTGACTCCTCCCTTATTAGTGAGATCCTCCAGGTATCAGTCAGGGACAGGGTGCCTGAAAGGAAACACATACTACTGTGCTATCACCCTTTAGATAACCCATAGTACTCTGGGAATCCTTTGTCATTTCATACATGGCTATTTGCAAAAGAGTGTGTAAGGGTAACTCCCCTCAGTTTTAGAATGCAGCCTTCGTCAATGTCTCCAGCAACAACACATCCAGGGGTGGCACACGCTTTTGTCCCACGCTGTGTGCCGCGGTTTCTTTCTCCAACACCTTTGTCACAACAGGATTAAGCAGTAAGGTAAGGAGGAAGGACCAGGGCATGCTGCAGGGGACAAAGGTACTCCTGGTAGTGTTGAACACCAAAGACATGGTGGATGTTGCAACACCGGAACAGAGAGGATGTAGCAGACATGGGCTACCAGAGAAGTGAATAAAACTTCCCCTTCTCTTACAGGGAGCTGCCAATTACATTCGTTATAGACCTGACAGGATCTCTGTCAGCTTGCTGTACCTAGTAAAATGGCCCCAGGTCCTTAGACCAGACATGTCACCCCAGGATTCCCAAAACCCAGGTCAACCTGTTATGGAAATTATGACCACAGCTGCCATGGTCCTACTCAGTCCTGCCTCCTCCCTTTTGGGCCACCAAATATAAGGAGCAGCCTCAATAGTCTATGGACATTGTGTCTACACTTTCAATGTAGTATTTAAAGGATAAGTTCACCTTTTGCAAAAATGAAAGAAATGCATATGTAATAATATAAAAATAAAATATGCATTTCTTTCATTTTTGCATTCAAGCCTGGAAAACAGTGCAACAGTGATCACTCAATCAGGGCTGCAGAGCTCAGGCTTCTGTACATTCTCATACTGGCAGAGCTTCGTACTGAGGTACGGAGTTTTAGTTAGGAGAGATGGGGAAGGACGGCTGGACGGGAATAAGGACAGTTCTACCGCATCTAACCAGAGACTGGACAGCTTGACGCTGTATGAGGTGATTTTAATGCAGTTTGAAGTCCAGTCGTCCTTCCCCGATCTCTCCTAACTGGAACTCCGTCCCTTAGTATGGAGCTCTGCCTGGGAGAGAATGTGCAGAAGCCTGATCTTTGCAGCCCTGATCGAGTGATCACAGTTGCAATGCTTTCCAGGCTTGAATGCAAAAATGGAAGAAATGCATATTTTTCTATATATTATTAATTATGCATTTATTTGATATTTGCAAAAGGTCAACTTATCCTTTAACAGGACAAAAAGGAACAAAGAAGACAAGTTAATTATTAGAGCTTACTGGACTTTAAGACAAGCTATACATAGAAAATTAGATTTTCTTATGAAGCCGAGGAGAAGACCACACCAATATTACCACTAAAATGAAAAAACAAACTGCAGTGCACACTGTACATTGTGAAATTCTCACCTATCTTGGTTAATGTGCCATTTCTTAGAGTCTTCAGCCACCTGATGTAGGACATACATGTGCCCATTAATTCTTTTTTAACATCTTCATTCACCGTCTTGTTAGAATTCAAGGCTTCTACAAAGATCTGAGCCTCCGGGATTTCAGTTTCCCAGACTGCAGCTTCTATGTCAAAATGGGTGAAGAGTTTCCCGTTATATGCTTCACTTATAAATCCCTGTACTGTTCCATTGTCATAGAGAATACAACCTTCCTTCTTCTGAAGCATATCATATTCTGTGGAAGGAGACAAAACAAACAGATCATCCGCTATTGCCCCTGTCCTATGTGGATCATGCCAAAGCATTACCTACTAAAATATTTCCAAACCTTAAAGCTGAAGTTTAATCTAATTAATTACATTACTTTAGATACTATAACTATGCCTTATTGCTTCTCTATGCAATGCAGGCAGATCATGGCTGGGGGGGGGGGGGCCCTCAGGGGGGTGTCAAAATAACAT